GCTATTGCTCTTTATATCATAGAAACAAACTGTCAAAGAGGTTTGTCTTCCACATCCTAGTGACTGCAACACTCTAACTGTGGACTGATTTCTTGTGCCATCAGTGTGCTCATCAACGGGGCCTGTTGCTTCCAGGAGATCCCCATACTAAACCTGCAGACCAGCCCCAGTAATCCACAGCCAGGAGAGTGTTTCCAGGGGAGTCCCATCTGAAACTGGCAAACCAACCCCTGTGACTCAGTAACACTCTCACTAGATAGGCATGCAGCCTCCTGAGACCGCCTTCCTGCAGCCCGCAAGCAAACAAACTGCACATGCTCCTGCAGTCTAGGTCACCAAGGCACTCACAGGTATCACCAAAATGGATAATAGCAAAGGAAAAAAAAGGGCAAGAGAAGAGCACAGATACTGCACTACTGTGTCCTCCTAGAACTAAAGCAGAGGCAGCCCATCCAACTGACACTCTAAGATACATCTCCGGGTGAAAGTCCTTCTCACGTAAGTCACTCTATACAGTTAGAAAAGGTGACCATGTCAGCGGTATCATAAATATAAATATAGGAGATAAGAAACATGATAATGCAATGAAAGGTGCACAATAATTCTTCAGAACATTACCCTAAATAAATGAAAAATTTCAAATTGCCCCAAAAGGAATTTGAAATATTGATCTTAAGAAAATTCAATCAGATACAAGAGAGTACATATAGACAACTTAATCAAATAATAATTTTTAAAAGCCATAACCTGAATGAGAAATTCAACAAAGACATTGATATCATTAAAGAAAACCAGCCAGCCAACACAAACCTTAGGAATGAGGAACTGAACGAATGAAATAACAAGTACAACTGAGAGCTTCCATGGCACACTAGATCAAACAAAAGAAAGAATTTCTGAACTTTCAGACAGGACTTTTAAAATAACCCAGCCCAAGGGAAAAAAGGGAAAAAAAAAAATCAAAGCCTAATCATAACACAAAGACTTGTGCTATGCCATTCAGATAACAGATTTTGGCAATATAGAAGAGAAACAAGAGAAAAGAGACAGACAAAGACACAGTAAACTTATTCAACAAATTAACAGCTGAAAATCTCCCAATTCTTGGGAGAGATATGGACATCCAGATCTATGAAGCTTCAAGGGTTTCATCCATATTCAAGCCAAAAAGGTCTTTTCTCAGGCACATTATAATCAATGTGTCAAAAGTCAAACACAAAAAATTCCAAAATTAGCAAGAGAGAAGCATCAAATCACAAGTAAGCAAGTCTCCATATGACTATCAGGAATTTTCACAGCAGAAACCCTGAAGACTAGAAAAGATTAGGATGATATATTCGAAGTGCTAATGAGAAATCTGTCAGCAAAGAGTACTGTACTTAGCACAGCTACCCATCAGAAATTAAAGAAATAAAGTATTTCCCAGACAAGCAAATGTTGATGGAATTCATCACCATAAGACCAGCCTGACAGGAAATGCTTAAGGGAGTGCTTCATTCACAAGTGAAAGAACAATAACTACTAATACAAAAACACTGGACACTATCAACTTAATTGTTAAAAATAAATTCAGTCAAATCGAGAATTGTACATTACTGAAATGATCCTTTAGAATCTCTCAAATCACCCTTGAGAAAGTTGAACATCCTTTATTTTCATATTTACACTGAGTTCTTAACAAATACACAATACAGAACAATGTAAATCATGGCAAAAAGTATAAATTTTGTACATTGGCATGGGATGTGGAGGGAGTATAGCATGTTCATGTGTGATCACAACTCTTTATCAGCTTTAAACGGTCTATCGTAACTATAAATTTTTCATTGTAAGCTACAGAGTAACCAGAGGGAAAAAATTACATCAGATATGTCAATGAAATGAAGACAGGAATCAAAGCTTATCAGTACAGACACTCACCAAACCATAAAGAAAACAGTAAGAGGAGGAGGAAACAAAAGATCTACAAAACAACCAGAAAACAATTAACACAATGACAGAAGTAACTTCTTACCTTTTAGCAATATCCTAGAATATAGATGGTTTCAATTCTCTAATGAAAGGATGTGGAGTGGCCAAATGGTTTTTCATACATGTTTCCCTGGTCCAGACATCCAAGAGTATGTCTTTCTCTTGGCCATAAGAAAATCTAGAGTGTCGTAATGTGTGGTGAAGGGTGGATCTAGCTAGCATGCTCCCAAAGACGAAATTATGTTGATCATATTTTAATCCATTACATTGTTCCACTATACAGGTATTGATCGACTTACGACCTATGCAACTTACGACCATTCGACTTTACGATCACAATCGCTAGTCACGACTGCTCCGCATCTGGCAGCGCAAACGTTGCCCAGCTGGGCGTACAACAATGCTGACCAGCTTCTGGCAGCACTACCATCTCCATGTGCACCATTTCAACTGTTATCCCAGACTCGGTACAGCAATTTGTGTTTTGTGTCTTGGATATTTTTCATCAAACCCCTCCCAAGATGTCTACCAAGAGGAAATTGTCTTTGTCTATGCCTCAGCCTGCCAAGAAGGAAAGAAAGGCCATCGATCTCGACACAAAAATGAAGGTAATTAAGCAGTACGAAGGAGGAAAGAAAGTGAATGTGATCGCATGTGATACGAAGTTATCACACTCGACTGTGTCGACGATTTTGAAAGATAAAGAATTCGTGAAGCTGTGAAAGGTTCTGCACCCATGCGATCAACAGTTACAAAGCAACGAAGCAGGCCCATCCACGAAATGGAGAAATTGCTATATATTTGGATGGAAGATCAAATTTAAAAATGGACACCATTAAGTCTTTTTACTGTGCAGATGAAGGCAAGAAGTCTATTTCAGACTCTGAAGGAGCGTGCTGGAGAAGATTACAGTAGAGAATTTGTAGCAAGCACTGGCTGGTTCCAGAGATTCAAGAAAAGATTCCAAACGCATAGTGTTCGAGTGACTGGAGAAGCAGCGAGTGCGGATGAGGAAGGAGCACGTAAGTTTGTTGATAGTCTGGATGAATTAATTACAGATGAGGGATATCTAGCAGAACAGATTTCCAATGTTGATGAAACTGGATTATTTTGGAAACGGATGCCAGCATGCACTTATATTCACAAAGAGGCCAAAAGCATGCCGGGATTTAAAGCATTTAAGGATAGGCTAACTCTGCTGCTTGGCGGGAACATCGCAGGGTTTAAGCTGAAGCCGTTCTTAATTTATCACTCAGACCCGCATGCATTCAAGAATGTTAACAAGCACACACTGCCCGTCTACTTTCGTGCTCAACGTAAAGCATGGATGACACAAGGATCGTTTGAAGACTGGTTTATGAACTGTTTTATTCCTCAAGTTCGAGAATATTGTTTGGAGAAAGATATTCCTTTCAAGATTTTATTGATACTTGATAATGTGCCTGGACACCCACCACATCTAGGCGATCTCCATCCAGATGTAAAATTTGTTTTTCTTCCGCCAAACACGACTCCACTCATCCAGCCTATGGACCAAGGTTCGATTGCTACATTAAAGGCCAACGAAATGTTTCCTATGGTATTTTTTACACCTGTATTTTGTATTTTTGTATGCACCTGTATTTTGTAATTTTGTATGTTTTGCAAATATTAAGCCAGTTGTACTGGTAATGCAGTGTTTTATTTAAACCTGACAAATGTAAAAATAACAAAATGGTGTAGAGATGATACAAATGGCATAAAATGAACAAAGAAAATTATGATAAAATATGACTTAAAGATTTTTATAACATCATTTCACAGTACTGTACATATAGCCTACTCAACTTACAACCAAATCGTGTTACGACCGGTCTGTCGGAACCAATTGTGGTCGTAAGTCGAGCACTAGCTGTAACTTGCAAATAAATAATGTACTTGCTTTCTAGACACATCCAGGAAGACTAGAGAAACTGGCTTTTATCTATATGGAATAGTCCACTGGTGAATTTCTTTCAGGATAGACCAAAGCTGATCTAGAACATCATCTTTACATACTTAGATTCTTCCCACCAAACAAGAAAGGACATATGGGCTGAAAGGCTCCATTAGAAGAGCAACGTGGGATGGTGCAGTGCTGACAGCTGGTGATCCCTGCCCTACATCTTTGAAGAGGACTGGAACCCAGAGTGGGCCATGGTCAACTTATGTGTTGAAGACCTCCTTCTATGTATGCATGTGCTTATTACAGACATGCCACGGTGCTAAGTACCCTAGGACTACAGAAAAATTCAGGATACATACTGTATCCACGATGAGGAAGCACACAGGCAGAGTGCTGGCTGTGGAATCACACAGCCTGGGTTCAAACCCTGGCTGGGTCATGATCACCCAAATGATATGAGGAAAGTTCTCAGGCAAATTTGTAAATAGAAGTGGAGACCCTGCCCGCCAGGAAGGGAAGTGGTAAGGGGCGGCAGTCAGTCAAGGCGGGGCACGCATCCTCTCCTGAAATCTGCCGGGCAAGGCCAGGACCACAACGGAGAAGGCGGGCCTGGTTCCAGGCGGCAGAGAGGCGCTGAGGAGGCCCTAGGGGAGCCTGGCAGGATCTGGCTACTCCTACACTCTGCTTTTAGCAGGGTCTGGCCCTGTAACCAAGGGGACAAGGCCAGCCAAGACATGGCCACTGGGTGCCAGCCAGCACCTGGGCCAGGCACCAGGTGGGAAGGGCTCTGGCAGATCAGCCCTGCATGCCCCACAGCTGGGCCCATCCGGGGCCACACACCTGCCCCCAGGAGCAGGACGTCCCTGGGGCTAGAGAGTCCGGCTAGACTGGTGGGGAGCCTCGCGCTGTGCCCTTTGACTCCACTTGTAGGTGCCCTTGCTGGGCTCCTGTGCACTGCCCCACACCCTGCTCTGTCCACCAGCCCCGTTGAGATATCATAAGAGCCCAGCTGCCCAGTGCCCGCCCGGCCACAGACTAGTGGGTGACTCAGGAGTACCCTCTCCATTTCTGACCTTGATTGTTGTCCGTGCACAACTTGCGCAATATGGGAAATTTCCTAAGCAAACTTCTTTCCTGGTTCCACCGCAGGCCCCGGCAGCGGCGGCAACCGCAATGGTCTCCTCTTGTCCACGCAGACTTTTCGGCTGGCCGGGTTCACCCCACAGCTCCTGTTTGTAGGTCTGCCCCGGGAGCCCTACACTGTTCTCGATTCGTCTTGAACCATCAGCGAGGTCTTGGGCCTCGTTTTCCAGTCAGCTGGAATATCCAGAACTTGAGCACCCTACTGCGGGACCTGCCTCCTCTGGCCTGGAGGCCCCCCTCAAGGGAGAAACCCGTGCTGTCTGCACGCAACTTCGCACGCGTCAGCGCCGTGAGGATCCCTCGTCTAAGACTCAAGCTTCCCCTCCAACTGCCTTCGCTGCAAGTGCTGGGCCTGATTCTGAAGACGGAGGTGAGGGCAGAAGAAGAGCCGGAAGAACCGATGGAGGTGGACGATCAGGTAGAGACCCAGGGGCAGGAGGAGGAGAAAGGGGGCCCCTCTAGCAATGGGGGAGCAGCATCCACCTCGAGGCCCCTGGAGACTCAGGGAAACCTCGCTTCCCTCAACTGCAGTCCCAGGACCATAAAGGGAAATGTCCATAGCAGGAGCCTGACGGAAATGAACAGGACTGACAAGGCCCAGGTGCCTGCAATGAGTTTCCACTCCAAGGGCCATGGAGTGCCCAGCACACACAGCCCTGCAGGAGGCGTCCTTCTCCTTGGGAAGCCTGACCCAGCTCCAGCAGTGCTCCCTGACCCAGCTCCAGCAGTGCTCCCTGGCCCAGTTCCCGGCTGCTCCCATTGCCCAGACAAGGCGGCCTCTCAGGTGCTGGGGAAAGACCACCTGCCCAACTCCTCAGGCTTGCAGATGGGGGGAAGGAGACCCAGCGCAAGGATCCTGCAGCTCTTGTAGTAAGCAGCTCTTCTCCACCCAGAGCTGCCAGCCACAGTTCCCGACAACCAAAACGGTCAGGGCAACCCCAGCAGCTGCCACTGGTCCCTCCCCAGCAATGGAGGTGGGGGAGAGACAAGGGGTCCCCACCCCCTAAACGTCCCCACCTATCCCTGGAAGGATTCACGGGCAACACGGCGGGTTACGTAGAACATCAACATCCGGGAGACTGAAAAAGCGACATGGGAGGATAAAGAAGAGTGGTAAACTGCAGTGGCAGCCAGCCTGCCCCGATGTCTCCCCACCTGCTGAGACTCCCTGCCCCAGGCCACCTCCATGTCAGATCCCAGCTCCTCCTCCTACCTCTGAGGTGGCCCATGTGGCTGCTGGGCCCCTCATCCTGCCCCTCTCTTCACTTTTTACCACACCAAGAATTGAGTAAAAATTGATATCTATGGCCGGGCACAGTGGCTCACGCCTGTAATCCCAGCACTTTGGGAGGCCAAGGCAAGTGGATCACCTGAGATCGGGAGTTCAGGACCAGCTGACCAATATGAAGAAACCGCATCTGTACTAAAAATACAAAATTAGCCAGGCATGGTGGCATCCTGTAATCCCAGCTACTCGGGAGGCTGAGGCAGGAGAATTGCTAGAACCCAGTAGGCACAGCTTGCGGTGAGCTGAGATCGCACCGTTGCACACCAGCCTGGGCAACAAGAACAAAACTCCATATAGATCTAAAGAATGTTTGCATGTAGATATCTTGCAACAATAAAACATGAAGAAACTTGCAGATCAACAAATGTAGGGACCTCATAAAATTCAAATGACAATTTTAATGTATTGAAAGAAAGGCAGAACAGTCACTCCCCTCCACCGTGAGAAAGTGGCGCTCCCTGCCCACGTGCAGATTCTCCTGAGATCCGCAGCTGCATGCTTTGCAGTAACTGGATGCTTCCCCCACTCACCCCTAAAGTTACACAGAGGCTCTTTCTACATCCATTGGCTTTCACTTGGTAAGAACACAGTATTTCACATTAACTCCTTACGCATTTTTTAAAAAATATTTCCCTATAACAAAGAAAACGTCACTTCCTGGCCCCCAAAAAGTCTTAAATAGCTAAAAATACAGGTCTTGAGAGCATAGGGAAGCTCTCTGTTAAGTTCATCATCCAAATGAATCAAAACATGTTGATCTTGATCAGTTACTCACATCTACAGCAATATGACCCTGTAGGCACCTGATCTCCTCCAATAATATTTTATTTACAAAATCAGGCTTCAGGCCAAAGTTGGCTACGGTTGGCTGACCCCTGTTCTAGTAGAAGAGATATTCAACAACTAATTACACGAATAGCAACCACTAAGTGCTATCAAGTAAAAGTTCCCGACACTAAAAACCCTGTAAGAAGAGAGATTTAACCTATTCAGGGAGATTAGATTGAATACATGTGCATTTGGGTATCTGTACATAAGTGTACGTGGACAGGTGTGTTGTGTGCACACATGTTCACCTGTGTAATGAGTTAGCGTGCATGTACATATAGTATTGTGCATGTAAATCTTTGTGATTCTGGGTGTACATATATGTGTATTTGTGTGTGCTTAGTGCTTCTCTGGCCATAATGGCTTGTATTTCTGGCCAAGAGACTTGATTCTCCCTGATTCAGCCATGAGTGTGCATTTCCCAGGATCAGGGTGACTAACCAGGACATCCCAAGAACTTTCTTCTCTGCCCCACCCATCCTGCCAACTCCATTTTCAGGTCTCAGAGGTTGAGGCTCTGGCCCCCGTGTGAGCCCCACAGGAGATCTGCAGAGCCCTCAGGTTGCCATGAGCATCTTATGGTCTTCCAAGAAGAGAGGCCAGTCCCCGAGTGGGCCAGGGCTGCTCCCATCAATCACAAGATGCTGGGACCTGGATTCATGTGAAAGGAGAAACCAGATACTGGGGGCTGAGGGTCCAGCTGCTGCTGGGCTGGGAGTCAGCAGCCTCTGTGCTTCCAGGACTCACCCTCCCCTGGCCATGGGCAGTGCCCTGGGCTTTGGGGCAATTTGAGACAATGAAAGTTTTTATTTCCTCTGGCTATATTTTCTACACATATTTTAATGTACGTACAATCACACAAAATGTTGAATTTTTGTCCTGCTTTTTAAAATATTTTAATTAAGTTAGATTATAACCTAAGATTATCACATAAGTATTTTTCAGTGTTATTAGAAGCTTTTCAGAAACATCACTTTTAATGGCTGCAGAATACTATATATAAAAAGGTTGTCATTTCCCAGTTTTCTACTGTGAAACACTAAGGCATTTTATCCTGTTACAAATAAAGCTGAGATCAACATCTGTAGGCACGTTTTTTCCTGCATTTTGGACTGGATAGGAAATGTGTGTTTTGGCTTTTGGCACAATTAAAATCTAAGAAGGGAATAAGAAATTTCATTTTTGTTGCTATTTGCTTTTCTTTTTTTCTCCAGAAAAACAATATTTGGATAATTGGCAGCACACCTGGGTTCTGGTGAGGGCCGTCTTCTCATTGCATCTGCTCAGGGTGAAGAGCAGGGAGTGAGAAATCAAGCTTTCTTGGGTCTTTTAATGAGGGTACCGATCCCATCATAAAGCTCTACCCTCATGGCCCAATTACCTTCAAAGGCCCCAGTTCTACTATCACATTGGAGGTTAGGAGGACAACACATGAATTTGGGGAAGAGGACAGAAACAGCCCCTCTCTAAAGTGTTCAGGCTTTACAGGACTAGCACCAGCTCTCAAGCAGGAATGCAGACCCTGGAGCCGTTTTGCAGGGTCAAATTCCCACTGCACTGGGACCGGTGTTCGAAGTCCCTCTGGGGACTTTTGTCATCCCTCACTCTGGCCTAAACCTAAAACATGGCAGCCCATTTCATCAACGTCATGCATTCTCACAGGGGCACAAATTGATTTGTGGGAAGGATAAGACAAAAATTGTTAGCTCCGTTTATGTGTAAAGCACAGATAGCGGGTACATGAAGAGATACACAGTTTATCTGGAGATAGAGGGTACAGGAACAGATATACCGTTTATCCGGGGATAGAGGGTACATGCACGGATACACAGCTTATCCGGGGATAGAGGGTACATGCACGGATACACAGCTTATCCGGGGATAGAGGGTACATGAACGGATATACAGTTTATCTGGTGATTGAAGGTACATAAACAGATATACAGTTTATCTGGGGTATTACAATTTCTCTTTGGAAAGGAGTAAATAGATGGCAAATGTCTAAAATCCTCCTTAAGAGAGAAATAATGGGGAAAAAAAGCGGAGAACACTGGTCTGTATCGTGTGGCAAGAGAACTATAGGTGTTCCCAGTGGGACCCTAGGGTTCCTAGGAATTGGGAAGGGGTCAGAGGTGGGTGGGCTCTAGAAGTCTATAAGAGACCCCGACTGCCCACCACACCCCTCACATGGCCCCCTTTGAGAGGGAACAGTCTTGAACTTTGGGGTCAGGGATGGAAAGTGAAAGAGGACTCTCAAGGTCTTGGACATGGGCCTCTCTGGTTGTCCCTGAGCCTCTCCCAAGGAAGAGCTCAGCTGGTGAAGACCCACTGTGCTCCTTGTGTGAACTCGGAGGAGATGCCCAGGCCCACCCCAAGCCTGAAGTCTCCACTCTGGGAAACTCAGCCAGCAGCTTGCACATGAGCACATCACAGATGCGCCTTCCTTCCTACTCATCTCCCCTCCGTCCTAGAATCCCTGGGCTAGCGGGGCCTATTGGCGGTGTCCTTCTACCCCTGAGGCTGGAATCTGGTGCTAGCAAAGCTCGGCTTGTGTGGAACAGAGAGTGATCCCAAGCCAGGGTTATTCCCACCCGCCCCAACAGTAGCCCCAGCAATAAAGGCCCCTCCTGACAGGAGGAGGCTCCACTGTGCTCTTTCTAGTCAGTAACCCACCCCTGCACCATCTGAGGTTACCACTGTCCTAGTGTTTTCCACCATAGAAGACTTTTGCTTTTTTTTTTTTTTTTTTTAAAAAAGACAGTCTCTGTTACCCAGGCTGGATGGAGTACAGTGGTGCCATCTCGGCTCACTGCAACCTCCTCCTCCTGGGTTCAAGCGATTCTCATGCCTCGGCCTCACAAGTAGCTGCAATTACAGGTATGCACCAGCACACCCAGCTGATTATTGTATTTTTGGTAGAGATGGGGTTTCAGCATGTTGGCCAGGCTGGTCTTGAACTCCTGGAAGAGGGAGCTGTCTCTACCTGCTTTGGCCTCTCAAAGTGCTGGGAGTACAGGTGTAAGCCACCATGCCCGGCCAACTTTGGCATGTTTTGAATTCATGTAAATGGAACCACACAGTATTCACTCTGCAGTGTGTCTCCTCCTTTGACTCATCTTAATGCCTGTGAAACACATCCATGCTGTGGCCTGTATCTCTAGTTCACACATTCTCATTGCTGAAGAGCATTCCCTTGTATGGAGGGACTACAATTCATTCATTCACATTTCCTTCTTGATGGACATTTGAAATTATTCTATGTTTAGGCTATTACAAATAAAGCTGCTTTTAATATTATTTTGTAACTCTGTAGATATGTTTTCATGTCTCTTGTGTAAATACAAAGGAGTGAATTACTGGCTCATAAGGGAGGCGTATAACTTGAACTTTATAAGAGGCTGACAATTTTCCAAAGTAGATGTACCATTTGCACTTCCAACCGCAACTCCCGTGGATTGGTTTGTTTTTTTTTTTTTGTCATCATTAGGAAATATCAGTCATTTTAATTTTATTAATTTTAATCGGTGCAGTGGTATTTCAATTTGGTTTTAATTTGTATTTTCCTAATGACTGATGATGTTGGGTCCTTTTCGTGTGCTTGTCACTTGTGTATCTTTTTTGAGAAGCACCTACTCAAAAGGGAAAAGGGTTTGACCTATGAATTGCAATTCAAAAAATAATCACTTTTCCATTTTAGAATAAGTTTCCGTTTATGTCAGAAAAAAATTCCATAAAGTGTAATTCTATGAGGATAGGAAGATTGGTAATAATTCCAGCTGCAGACTGGCCATCTCCCCCTTATTTTCAAGGCATCAAAACTCCTTAACCCAGTTCCAGAGCTCTTGACTATGACTGTGCTGTCCTTGGTCTAAGTACCATTTTGTCCAAGCAAGCATCATGTCCAGTAAGCTTTTATTCAGAGCACTTGGTCACTCAACTCTTTTCTTATCAATGGGACCTCACGATTTAAATGTCACCTCAACTTTCCAGCCTTCCCTTGTAAGATTTCCATGGGTTATTCTGATTACTTTAACCAATGGCACAAAAGCCAACGTCCAACCACCTAAATATGCGGGTTTCCCTACAGAGTGAGGTCAGACGTTATCATCACAGACAAA